TGAACCACAACCGAAATGAAATATGTATATATTTTAAATACGTTCATACCCTTATGGAGTTGATATACATAAAATAGGCAAATAAAGGTGTTCAAATGTTGTAAAAATGAGGCAGTACATCAATAAAATATTCACTACAATGAATTTATATAAAACTGTAATTCTACATAAGTTGTAATGTGTTAAGAACTAGAGAAGAAATGGGTGATCGTACTATGAGAGCATAAAATAGTGAACTCAACCTACTCAAATGACATCAGAAAGTCTTTGAATAGTCAAAAGAACTAAGGTCCTTTAATCGTGGTTATAGTATGATTCAATTGATTGAGGTTAAAGGAAAAGTTTGAATACATGAAAAAGGATGTGAAAAGGAGGAGTGATGATTGGATATTTTGGAGTTTGTTGTGTCAACAGGTTACTAAAATGGAGAAGCTGGGTAAGTAAGTAGATGTTTGCCTTAGTAGAAAAGTATTTACTACAGAACAATATTTGAAGATTCTTTAGTGTACGAGTCATAATTAAAGACTTTGAGACTGGAACCCTGTCTCAAATATGTCCACATCCTAATTCCTGGACGATGTAACTGTTGGATTATAAGCATTAGGGAATTTACAGATGAACACACAAGACTACCCTAAATTGTCTGGCTAGGTCCAATATAATGTGATGCTCCACAGAAGAAAGAGGCAGGAAGCCCCAAGTCAGAGGAGTTGATGTGATGTTGGAAGCAAAGAAGGGAGTGATGCACTTTGAAGATGAAGGAAAAACTCACAAGCTGAAAAACAAAGACGACCCTGAGAAGCAAGAGAAAGGCAGGACACTGCGTGTCCCTGAACCTCCTAGACTTTAGTCCAGTGTAACCAGTGTTTGATATTTGACCTCTAGAACTGGGAGAAATTAAATTCATGTTGTTTAAAATTTTTGATGAAGTTTTACAGTAGCAAAAGGAAAACTAATATATAGTGAAGGAAGGTCTAGAGTCTGGAAGCACGTGCCCATGATCCCAGGATCCTAGGCCCCTGGGCCGGGAGGATCACAAGTTTGGGCCTAGCACAGGCAATTTCCTGAGATCAAAACATAAATAGGACTGTTGATGTACTGGACAAACAAAGTGGAATCGTGGAGACCAAGGGAGACAATACATCTGGGAGAGGGCTGGGGCTGTAGCTCTGCAGTGTGGCGCCTGCCTGGCAAGTGTGAGGTCAGGAGTTTGATCCCAGGTATCAAATATATTTCTAGGAGAAGAGATTTTTGGGAAACCGTGCTTAGAGTTTCTGGGTAGGAAAGGAGAGGAAGACAGACAGTGAGTGTTCAGGATGACACCGGGGTGGTAGGACTGTTTTATTATAAAATAGAATATGAAATTTTGAAGGCAGGTCTGATTTGTCATGGAAGCATACAGAGGACCGGAGCTGATAAATCTTATTGTTCTATCTTGCTTATATGGGAATGGCCAGGTTTAAAACTTTCCTTTGCTTTAAATTAGTATAAGTGACACTATACTGCATTTTTTGAGATCCAAATTGTGCTACCTTCAAGCTGAGGTCCAAAAGCTAAATATTTTTTAGCCAATTTTTCTGTAGCTTGAGAAAATTCCAGATAATGGGGAGGAGATAGTCATTCACACAGGAGGGTTCAGACAGTGTGGTCCATGATCTTGATTAGAACTCTGTGCCCCACTGTCCCTTTCATCTAGCATGGGGCTCACTCCACCTGGTGCAAGATATTCCCAGAGAGGAGTTTTTCATGGCACAACCATGTAGAATTCTTTCTATTGAGATATTCTGTAGTCCATCTCCCCTGACTTCACCCACTTCTCCCATGAAATACTTTCTGCTAATGCTTCATCAATAGAAAAAACTAAAACTAAATTTTCATTGCATAGTTTTTAATATTAGGAAGACCCATAGGGCTGTAGACAGAGTTGAGAATTGAGCTTTTCCTATAGAGTACATCCTTTTCATCTAGCAACATTTGTTTCCTTCTTTGAACTGGTTAATTAAATTCCATTATACTATTATACTAGTCTCTTGTTCTTTGGTGGCTGTTGAGGATTGCTTTTATTGCTTTTTTTCCTTCTTTGCTCATTGTTGAAAAATTTATGGAAGGGAAATTAAATATTGTAATCCACCAGCTTAACCTGGAAGCTTGTAAATAATATTTCACTAGTTTTATTCATTATTTAGAGAAGGAAGTCAATCTACTAAAATTACATTTCAGATGTAAGATTAATTATTTTTATGAAACTGAATTTATTATAGATACTGCTAGAGCTAACTTGTGTTTTTAATTTCCCTAAAGTGCCTCGATTGTGTAGTGATAGCAGCAATAAACATCAAATATAAATAAGTACTTGCACCTGACAAGTAATTTATAAGTATTTTACATGTACTGTGACCATATTTATTTTTATATAGATAATACATAGTCAGGCTATCTCTACAAATAAAAATGCTGACCATGTAATGCTGTAATTCATAGGTATTGCATGTCTCTCATCTTTTGGTTTATTTTCTTCTGCATCCTTCCCTGTAATTATTCCCTTAACTCATGCCTGTCAGTTTGACTTTAAGGTAAAAGCCAAGGAAATGCAACTTTTGAGTTTATGCCAGAATAATTTTTCTGCCTGGGAGAAAAGAGTAATTCTAACAGTATATTTTAGTTTTCGTTAATCTGATATGCTAATCTAGAAACTATTGTCTATTTTTGATACATTGCACATAAGCATATGTGACATGAAAACCAGACAAAGAGACTACAATACTCCAGAAAAATAAATACCCAGGAGAGTTAATTTGGATGTCAGTACTATATAAAACTCATATTTAATTCAACTCAGAGTCACCATATAATTCTTTTTTAGTTGATGCTTCTCTGAAATGCATGGATGTTTCCACAAAAATTCAGCAAGATCCAAAAGAGAATGTTTGATAAGGTCAGAAGACACAACTATGTGCACAGAAAGTAAATTGGGTGACCTAATCATTATGTATCGCAAATATGCATTAATAGAAAATGAATAAAAACAAACATATTGTATAGCAGGCAAAAAAATGGCTTAGAAAATTAACCATCTGCTTTAAATCAAGGTAGTCAACTGACTGTGAGACCTGCAGTGTTTTATAATTCTGTTAGTGTGTATCATTCTTTCTCCAGCACACTTGTACAATCTTAACGCCTCATTAATTCCACCACAAAGTAACTGACAAAATGCTTTTGAGTCATTTTGTTGCTACCAGAAATGAAACAATTGCAAATCTGATTTATTTTATTAAATTATAGCAACATGCAGGAAAATGTATGTGTAAACTGGCCAAGGCATCATAATTTATTCTGTCTTTTGCTGGTATCTGAAATAATTATGAAAGATCAAAAAGACCAATAACTTCTAGATACTACACTCAGTCTATGAGAAATTCTTAATGAGATACCAGAAAATAGATAATTTCACATGCATATCCCCTTGAGAGAAACTTTTACTGTATGCATATGGGGACTTGAAGCCATTTGTGTTAAGATTACTCACAGTATTCCAGGGTGACTGGTTGACTCATTCTTCTGGAGCAATCCATTTTTGTCTAGATATATTATTAATATTCTCTAAATGATGCTTTATATAAATAGATACAATTTGATAGAGATTGTGCTTTTTTGTCTTGCTATTAGAATCTTGCTAACTTCAGTCAGAATACATTAGTTCTAACACTTGAGTCTTACCCAATCTGAAAATACTACTTTGTATGAGGTGTGGTTTTATGTGACTCTTCTACAGGTTAGGTAGGGCTGTGATATAATTTGACCTATGATTATTCTGTATAATTACCTATGTCAGCTGGAGACAGTATCTTTGTAATCTATCTGAAGTCTTTATTTAATGACAAGTTATTTATATAATGTTTAGCAAAATAGAACTTTAGGAAATATTCTATATTCTGCGAATTGTCCTTAGAGGACTGATTTGAAATTTTCCATCTTCTACCTCATAAGACTACAGAGAAGTCAATATTGAAAGGGCCACTGATTCTCTCAATTCTAATCCCACTACCACAAAGCTTTGACTATCTCATACTGAGAGCCATGGTTTTCCCCAAATTTCTCTAGGTTAATTTTGAATAACCAAGTGGTAATTTTACACAATTTAATGAGGAAAAATAATTGTGTTTTTTCATAACTGACTTTATGGTCCATTGGGCAAGAGTTGGAATGACTTAATCCTAAAGAACAAAATGGAATAACTAATTTGGTTCCATAGCCTGACTGAGCAGCTTCTTATGTAATTGAAATCTGCACTAAATAATCACATTATGCATTATCTATTCCTAGGAAGGATGAGGACATTGTGAACTTATGAAATTGTTTTAAATTTTGCTTAGTAAAATGAAATAACATTTCAAAACTTCAGCAACAATGCATTTGTTTAGTTTATCTAACTAATTAACCATATTATTTCAGGAAGAATTGCCTACTGACCCTCTTCTTAATAGAATTTAAACCTTCTATACAAATACAAAAGCCTCTCTAATTTACCCAATTTGTCTCTTGAATATTGTTATTAATGGATAAATTGTAGGTGTATAGCTTGATGGAATTTAATATATATACATACATTCATAAGCTTAGTTAAATTTCTAACATTTCCAGTACTTCAGTAAAGTTACTTATTTTATAATTCATTGGGTTTTTCTTTTTTTTTGGTAATTCATGAACTTCAGAAACTCATGAGCAAAACTGGGCTTTACCTAATTAAATAGTGAAATTAAATGAAATAAATAGAAATGTCACTGAAAATTTATAAGCTCCTACCAAAAAGGAAAGTTTTACAATAATGAAATATTTATCCTACATCAGAGATTATTTCTCCAACCCGAAGATCATTCCTCCATACTTTTCTCCTTCTGATTAAATGTAAACTTGGAAACAGGGTCACTTACCTCTCAATAGATCTTTCAAAACTAGTTTTACCAGAAACAAATTTGAAAAGAATGTACCATCAGTCAAAATTATTGTCATGGGAGAGTTTATTAACATTTCATTTAAATTTAAATGTAAGCTGTTTAAACCATTTAATTACTGCCTCTGCTTATGTCAAATGCATATGTTTGTAAGTGTATATGAAACATTATTGCTTAAACTATAAAAATGATTAGCATCTCCTGGCAACAAACCAAGCAGCAGACTTGCATGGTTAGTAATATCTACATATGCATTTCAAAATAAAGCAAAGCAAAACTAAACAAAGCATGATAAATTAATTGTTGCTCCTTTGTTTAGAGATGGGTAACATGTTATAACAGTATTTTTCGAGTTTCTGGCATTTTTTTCTTCCAAAGATCAATTGACAGTACTAACACATTTTAAAAAGATTTTCTAGATACAACATGAGTAATCAGAACAAATCAGTAGGTTTAAAACTGCAGGAAAAATTAAAATTATTGATGGTTTTAGTTGAATTGTTGGCATTCATTTTTTCCCTGTGTGCCCATTTTCTAGATAGAAAGATGATACTTAGCATTTTTTGAGAGATATTTTAAGTGTTTCCTTTACTGCATTTTATTATTTTACTTCCTGTAAGGAAAATTATCATTTTATTCCTCTAGAAGGCTTCTACCCATTTGCTGGCTACACCTCATATTCCTAGAGCAGTCACAGATACTCATTCAGAGAAGTACAGGTGGTTCCAGGAGAGAAACTGCTATGCCTATGGCTTGTCCTTCAAAGCAGATTCTCCATTACCACCTTCGTTATCTTCAACTTCCTTTTTGTTAAAGCTCCTGAATTGAACTAGTGTTAACTCTGAATGTTTTGAGCCACATAAATCAACTGACACACTTATAAAAGGATCACTGTTATGGCAATCATAGTAAGTATGATAGTTTTAGATTGGGTAGTTTTATGCTCTGGGATTATCTTTGATAAATAAAATGACTAATATTTGCTGAATAAATATAAGCTAGGAATTCAATGCAGATGAAAATAAGAGAGATTAACAGTATAGTAGTTTGAGTAGTACAGCCAGCATGTTAAAAGCATCTTCCTCTGAGTTCTTTTAATACCCCAGAATCAGATTCAGAGTGCTCAATAATCCAGGCACTCAGCTCCTACAGCCAGGACAGAAGAAACCCTGGCTACTGCTCCAGCTGGCAGCAGACCTTGGCATCTTCCACATATTACTGGTTTTAGGTGGAGGCAGAATGCAAGAGTCCTGAGGTTAAAAGGCTTCCACCCAGATTTCAGAAGAGGGCTTTGGAAGTCCAGGCAGTGTGCCCCTGAGAAGGCAATGTGTGTAGCTGTGAGGGTAAACCAAAGGTGCAATGGAGAACCCAGATGTTTGGAAAAGCCACAAATGTGGATCATCTAAGGAAAATTGCAAAGACTGAGCAGATCAGGCCTAAGAGAGAAGCCCTGGGAGCTACAATCACCAGAAGTGCCATAGGGGTGGGATCACAGAACCCTTTTGGAGCTTACAATTTACAACACATTACTTCAGGTGTTCCACATGGAACTGCAGAACTCAATGTCTTCCCTGCTGGACTTTGAACTTGATTAGGTTCCATTCTTTGGTATTCCTCTGTTTGTATCTTTTAGAATGGTAATATTTATTTTGTGCCATTGAATGTTGGAAGTGTTTAACTTTTCATTTGCACAGGAGCTTGTAGGTAAGTTTGCCTTATGCCTTGGAGGAGACTTGGGATTTGGACTTTTCAGCAATGCTCAGACTTCTAGGATTTTGGAAGATCTTAGAGATGGACTAAATGTCTTTTGTATAAAGGATGTGCATGAGTCCTTGGGGGGCCAGGGGAAGAGTGTTATGGTTTGTTTCTGGGTATCCTCCCACAAAGCCTCATGTGGTCACAGGGTCAGGCTTCCAGAGTGTGTGAACGATTCATGGCTCCTATGCTGTGATTATGGGCTTAAGTCTGCACACAAATGAGTGTGGCCCACATGTAAAATAAGGGTCAGAAAGAGTCTTCTCTTCACGTGTTCCTCCTCTTTTGCTCTTGTTGCTTTTGGTGTCTTCTGCAGCCATCTTTGCCCTCTGCTATGTGCCACCCTATCTTGGTTATAGACTGAAACCTCCACAAACCATGAGCTAAATAAATCTTTCCCTCCTTAATTTTAGGCATCAAGTATTTTATCTCAGCAATGAGAGAAAAGTAACCAACACAGATATTAACACCTTTGAGTGTTAGGTGCAACAGAATCATTAACTCATAGCTAATCTCACGGTAAGTTCTTTCCTTAGATATATTGTTCTCTTTACATTTAAGACCTAGACAAGCAGCAAGCAAAATGCTCTTCTTGGAATCACAGAGTTACATCGAGGGCACTCTCATTTCCAGTTAGTCAATATGTATTGAGCATTCGCAATGAGGCAAATCAAATAGTGGATTCTGCTCATAGATAGTAATGTGATTTAAACATGTCGTCCAAGAAAGAAAAGAGTCATGCAAACAGATAATTACAAAGCAATGTCATAAATGGAAGCGAAGGCCATCACATCTTTAAGGTGGCATTAACAACATGAACTGCGGCATGATGGGCAGCAAGGAAAATAGCACAGACCTTTAAAGGAAAAACAAGCAGTGGAGCAGAGCTGCTAGAGTTTCAAGTGGGAGCCAGCGGGAAATGGGAGACGAGCTGGAGAGGTACACAGGGAATTTCCGCTGCAGATGATGCAGAGCCATAGAAGAGATTTGTGGTTGGATGGCTGAGTGAGGATACTGGGAGTAGATCACATCAGAGTCAGGGAAGACACGATTTTGCAATTGTCAATCAGGGCAGAGCTGATGAAGATGTGGCTGTATCTAGACTTTTTTGAGAAAAAGATACAAAGGAAAGGAAATTTCAGACTGGTAATTTTTAGCAGCAGGACTAGATAAAATATCTACCTTTCTCTGTTTCTCCTGTCTTGGTCCCCTCTCAAATTCTCTTTTTGTCCTTACTGTTTTTTTTTTTTTTTTTTTTTATCCCTTGCCTGTCTCTTTCTTATGTTCCTCTTTCTTCTTTTCATCTTGTACAAAAATTTAATTAAAGCATTTTTTGAATAGTTAATGTATTCTTGTAGCACTGGAGTCAAAACACAAAAGGGGCACAGTGAAAATCTCTTTCCTGCAGACATGTTCTCAGCTACTCAGGGCTTCTCCCTCCGCGCAGCCAGCTGTGTTTCCCTCCAAGGTTCAGGGGTATTGTTTCAGAGATATTTCACACATTCACAGTCCTGCAGATACACTTGCAAAGACTTTTAAAAATAACTTGTGTGGAGACTTTGTGTACACATTTGACAACTTAATTAGCAGGCTAGCTGCACTAGATTAAAATCCCATTAATTAATTTGATGGGTCATTTGATTATATAGCTCTAAAAGAAAATGCAAGCCTTCTTTTGCAGACAACAGTGAGCTCACTGAGGATATTTGCATGAATAATCTTTGCAAGATGAAATGTATAAAATTAAACTATCTTAGCCTTTCCCTTTCAGGTGTATCTAAAGACTATTAATTTAATGTGCATTCAGAGCCCTGATTAATCACGAAAAACCTCAGTAAGTGCTCATTTAACCTATTAACAATTTGATTATGTAACAATATATTACTCTGCTTAAAGGCCAATATCTTAAGTAAAAAAAGGAGACTATACTAACTGTGTTTTAATATTTGAAAATTCAGAGAAAATTTTTTAACTTTTCTTCAGTAGTAGGTTGTGACTTTTCCATGTACTGGAATATCCCAGCTTCTATTTTCACCTGATGTATACTGCAGTGAAATTCTTACTGCAATAATTCCTGGAAGAGCAGAATATATGATGCTTTCATAAATAAATATTAGTGCATTAGTTTTCTTCCAGCCCGAGCCAGATATTTCTGGCTGCTTATTTCCCTAGGTGGCCAGAAAAATGGAATCCCTGATATGAAAATTTGGCTGCTTCAGATTCATATCTGATCAGAAGTAACACTTCATTTGCATAATGTTCTTGTAGTTCTGTTGGAGAAATATGTGTAGTGATGATCTAATAGACATAATAAAATAAACTTATATGTGATTAAAGCCGCTATATCTTAATTTGTGATTGTGTTTTACTTATCAGGAAGTCTTTATTAATAAACACTTCCTCAAGGACTAAATCTTAAAAACATGAAAATTTACAGGGAAAATAATCATTATGCCATGTTCAAATCCCAACATTTTCTTAATATAACTTGTAGTCCAAAATGTCTAGAAACATAATGAGAAAATTAAAGAGCATATAAATTTCTGAGAATATCAAACACAGTATTATTAAATTATACTTTTTACCAATAGGATGCTAGATAGCATTCGAAAGAATTTTGTAACTATTGTATTTTAAGCACAGCACTCCAGTTCACTGAGTACCAATGTAATTTAATATTATTTTATAAAATCAGTTTGTTTTTAACATGTCGGATCTGAAATTATATTATTGAACAATGTATACTGTGCTGAATTATTTAATAATACTCTCCAGACTAATCTTTTAGAGTATTAGTTTATCCGCTTAGTTTACTGCTGTTTCCCCAGGGGTACGAGCACACTCAGTGTTTAGTAATTCATAAATGAATAAATACAACATTAACTATAGCTCATTTTTGTAGTATTTCTTGATCATGCATTGTACTTTTAGCTAGTTTTTTTCTAATGTGTCTTAAAACTATCTAACGTAAGATAAAGAAAGATTTAAAATTTTTAGTTACTTAATTCAATATATTCCAGTTTCATAAAGCTTAGTGTTAAAAATATTAACAGTTTAATGACTTCACTATCTTTCATACCTTATTTCCCTACAGCAAGGTGGCTATAAATAAGGAAAAACTGTGGATTCTGAAACAATTCCTTTTATTTAGATGGGAAAAGGAGACTAGAGAGCTAGATTGTGAGAGACAGACAGAGGGAGATACATGCGCACTGGCCCAGAGAGTCTTGCTCATATGCTAATGAGCTTGCCATTAATGGATCTTTTAATACAAAGTGCCCCACAGTACTCTACACAGTTCATCATAAGCTAATGAAAAAAGGTGCTTTAATTAGGAAGATAACAAGTGATTCAGAAGGTGAGGGAAAGGGAAGGATTCCAAGCCATCACAGCTCTACACACAGAGGGACTGCTGCCAAGTGAGAAAAGCCTTGCAGGATACGACCGAGAAGTTAAGTTGATGACATTGCGATATAAGATATTTAGAAATAAAGGAAGTACTGCCCCTCAGTGACAAGGTACCCCCTGAAGTGTTAGAATATTACAGGCTCTTCTGAGCTTTCACCACAAGATGTACTATAAAACCAACTTGGCCTCTTCTTTTTGTGAGAAGGCAATCAGATTATCTCAAAACTTGGAATAAATCACTAGAATAATCTTATATGTATTAGTTTAATTTTAAAATTTGTAGTAGTTTCTTGACATTCCTTAGAGGATCTGTGAAATAGGAGGGGGGAAAACACCCTAGCCTTCCGTAGAAATCTCGCCAACCATTTGGTTATCAGGATGCTGATTACAAGCAGAATTGTGCTTGCTTAGAATGAATAGATAGAAAATGGGATATAAATATCACTTCTGACTAAAAATCAATGATACAGCATATCTCCCAGGACTCCTTTCTTTTTCATTATGTCATTACTCATGCATTCTCCTGGAGACCTACAGACACGATTTGGAATGATAATGCAATTCAAAGAAAATGCGTCTAAAAGTTTTTTAAAGGAGAAAGGCATTGATTTTCATTTGCGTTTTAGTTTAATGCTCTTTCTAAAAAACAAAGTCTCTACAGAAATTAATAGTGAACTTGTAAAGATAACTTGGATGAAGACCACTAATCTTGGATGAAGTGCTAATGCGAATGCTTTTTTTGACCTGGTCCCTCACCCTAGGTTATAATAAGATAAATACAGACATAAAAGAGTAAACGTGTAGAAATTTTTTGCAACAGTTTGATAGAGTAAACATTTTTTGGGCTATCAAATTCAATAGTTAAGAGTTGAGCATTGTTTCATGAATTTTCTTCACTTTTTTAAAAGTAATATTTTGCACATTAAGTAGATTAATATTTAAATTATATTCTTAAAAGAAATTAAAAAATGTTTTGCTATGGGTAGTTTGACAGCTATTTCTCTATATCACTACTATCATTTGGACATGCACACCCAAAGTCCATGTATTCATCATAAGCTTAATTTCCAAGGCATTGTCTTATGGGAGGTAGTGGGGCAGAGAGAGAGAAAATCGGGTACTAGAGACGTATCTGTGAAGGGGGCACTGGGACCCTGACCCCTTCTTGCCTCCCTTTGCTTACTAGTGACCGTGAGTAGCTTCTCCTGCCATATTCCCACCACGATGTACTGTATCACTACAGGGCCAAAATGATAGCCTTAGTAGATCATGAATGGAGATATCTGAAGTTCCGAGTCAAAATAAGTCTTTTGTAATTTACAGTTGATTTAGGGTTCTTAGATATTTTGTCACAATACCAATTAGCTGACTAACATAATTACTTTGAAGCTAATGGTGTAGATGTCATACTTTCAGACCATCTTTTGAAAACTACTAGATATTCAGATCTTTAAATATTATAAATGTATTCCTTTATGTTTTCTTTGTTGTATTCGTTAGGTTTCCATCACTGTAACACAAAACCTCGGAAACTGAGAGGAGGAGATAAAAGGTTTACTTTGGCTCATACTTTCAGAAGTTTTAGTCCAAGTTTCCTTGGGTTGTTTCTGGGCCAGGGGTGCAACAGAGCATCATGGTGAGGAGCACATGGTAGGGTAATATTTTTGTGTCATGCTGGGCAAGAAGCAAGGAGAGAAGCAGGGATAGGAATAGATTTGGGACAAAATAGAGCCTTCTGGAGCACACGGCCAATGTGTTACTTCCTCCAGCTGGCGCCTGCCCCCTAAGTTTATACCATTTCTTACCAGCCCATTCAATTACCAATTCATCAATGTATTGATCTACTGATGAGTTGAGAGGTTTCATGATTCAATCACCTTCTAAAGACCTCACCTCTTGACATGCTACCTTGGGGAACCACACCTTCAACAAATACAATTTGGGGGGACATTTCAGATCCAAAATATAGCATCTGCTGTTTTAAAAAGCAAATATATCTTAAATTCCATATCAAGGTGCTGCCATCTGATGAAAATCTTCTCACTGTGTGATACATAGCTGAGTACAACACATGGTAACAGAACACTGGAGACAGCTGATTGGTAAACTCTGCAAGCAAAATCCAGAGAAACCAGACTCACTTTTATAATAAATCCAGGCTCCTATCAATGAACAGCTCCCGTGATAATGACCTAAATCCAGCAGTAATGCTGATGTCTTCATGACCTTGGCATTTCTTAAAGGCCTCCCTTTCCAATCTCATCACAGAGCAATTACATTTCAGTGTGGATTTTGCAGTGGACATTCAACCCATAGCAATGAGTGAACTTTCCCCACTCTTTCCTCAAATCTTTCATTCAGTTGTTCTAACTACTCGCCTATACTTGCCTGTTTGTTCAGAGTGTAAATAGAACTCCAACTTCCTGTCACCAAATCTATACACAGAAATCCCAAGAAAGAAGTTACTTTCCTGTCTGAAAGTCAGCCTCATGTTTTTGTTCAGATCCTGTCTCCTGCCTCCTCAGGATGCTTTTCCTTTGTCTCTAAGTTTTATTTTCCTTTGTCCTCATCAGGCCATAAACATACCCCATGTTCTCATATTCTAAAATTTGTCCCTCAGTCTAATAACTTTTACTGCTTTCTGAGCATTCTTCCACAAGGAAGACTTTGCAAGAGTTGTCTATGTTGGGGCTGGAGATTTAGCTCAAAGGCATAAGCGCCTGCCTCAGTCATGAGTTCGATCCCCGGTACCGATAAGAAGGCAAAAGACCAAAAAAACCAACCAAACAAACAATAAAAGAGTTGTCTATGTTCACTGGCCATAGTGCTCAGATCTACTCGCCCTTCCACTTGCTTTAACACAGCTTTCTTCTGCTTTTAGCGCTTGCCAAAGCCAGGTATAACTTCTTTGCTGCTAAGTGAATGAAATCTCTCTTTGGTTTGATCTCTCTGTCCTTCCACTATTGACTATATATTTTTGTTCTTTAACCTCACAATTTGTTTATCCCATATTACTGACAGAATCTGATTTCTTTGTAGGAATCCTGGAATTCTGGTATTTCTTAGGGTTCAATATTAAATTATCTTAGTTCAATTTACATACCTTCTAGGAGATATTTCCCTGTTTCCTCTAGCAGTGTCAGTAACCCTGTTTATATGCTGAAAATACTTGAACTCATTTTTCTAGGAGCAACCACTCTACTAAATTTTACAACTCAAAATTTATTCTGTTACAAATATCTCTTGAATGTTCAGTGGGTCTATTAAAATGTACAGCTGCAGAACTAAGATTTGCTTTTCTCTGACTTTTTGCTTATTGCTCACTGGTCACCAACAGAATCCTGAACATTCCCTTGACTACTTTCTTTTACTTTCAGGTCCCTAGATATGGGCCAACAACCCATCATTTTTTTTTTCTTCATGTACTCTGTTATTCACACAATTCAGTTCATCATTTTTAAGAGCAAAGGGTCTCTTTTTCTGTAGCAAGGTCTCCCTTCAGTGTATCTTCCACACTGCAAACAGTGATTTTTCTAAAACATAACTCTAATGTATACATTGCTATTATGCTTAGTAGTATTCAGTGACTCTTCATTACAGCCAGGACAAAGTACAAATTGTTTAGCGAGCCTCGCACAGTTCTTTATCTTCTGGGCAGGCACTCCTTGTCATACTTCTTTTTGCCTTTTAGTATTCCAAGTACCCTGTACTTTATATTTTCAGATATCTCAGTTCATCTCAATTTCTACCCCCACCCTTCAGGTCTGTGCATAGCTTTTTTTCTATCTTGAATTTTCCCAACACATCACTATACAGTTTCCCTAGATAAATTATCCGTACCATCTACATCTCAGATAAACTTGCTCTCGGAAGCCTTCCTTCACATTGTAGAATTGGTTTCCAGAGTCTTTTTTACGCCTCTACAGCAATTACTATTTCATTTACATAATACTTGTCACATTCTATTACATTTTTCTATATTTGCCTTTTTATCCCCTATTAGCCTGTCAGCTCCACTGGGGCAAGAATAGTTTGTTTGTTTTGACTATAATGTTCTTGGTACATAGTAAATTCTAATAATTATTCAACTCCTGAATTTAAGAAAAAACGAGAATAGGATTATACAAGTGAATAAAGCTAATAGAAGCAAGACACAAAGCAGATTAAAACCAGATAGATAAGGCTCAGTCAGGAACTTAGAATATTAGTGAGAAAAGTTAGGATCTGTATTGCCCTAGGGTCTGAGGCAGAAATAGGATAAAAAAGGTACAATCTCTGGCAGCAAAGATCTGTATGCACATAACCATATCTTTCCAATTTGGTTTGGCCTAAGTTCTGTCACAGAAATATGTGTTCAGTAGGTGTAGAGTTTTATGTTTTATTTTGCAAGATAGGACTAGTTCTGGAGATTGGCTACACAGTAATGTGATTGTAAATATAACTACTGAACTACACCTTGACAAATAAGATGGTTAAGGTGGTAAATTTTATGTTAGATATGTTTTACTATGTACTAAAAGTTTTTTAAATCACAAAAATCTTTCAAGAAGGGTTATATGTTATCTTACTATAGAACATTTCATGTAGATATCATTGAAGTACATAGACACATCACAGAATTGCATGTACACAGCAAGTGGTGGGTTAAAAATCTCCTCATCTCCACTCCAACATGAAAAATATCAATCTTAAGAGAAATATTTTTCTTCTGAATTTTCCCTTAAGTTTTAATTGCTTTATCATTCTCTATAAAAATTAAGAGTACATCAGTGTACCTATTATTTGTTTTGTTTTGTTCTTGTCATTTTAAGACAGGACTTCACTGTGAAGTTCAGGCTGGCCTTGAACTCAATTTTCAGCCCAAGTTGTCCTCAAATTTACAGCAATCCTTCTGCCTCAGCCTCCCTAGTACTGGGATTGCAGGTATGAACCATCATAACTGGCAGTATACTTAAATGATTTGAAAATAACATAGTATTTCATTAAGTTATTCAGAAATTGAAGATAAAATACCATTTGGATGCATCATGTAAAATACTTTTTTAGTGTAGCCTTTGTTGGTGTAATCTTTTGTTTTTAAAGAAAATAATGAAACTTTTAAAATTCAATATTTTTGTAGTTAACCTTATTCATAATGTAATGAGTGTACTCAGAATAATGACTGCATATTGGCTATTCAACATGACAGATAGAATAGAATTTTGATTTTACTTAGTTGTGAAAAATTACTGGTATTTGAAGACTTTAGACAAGTCTAATGTACTTTTTGGGGTCAATGATGTTAATTCTTGTGCTACAGAAAATCCTGTGATAGGCTGTCTCCAAGATGCCCTCAATGATCATCCGGTGGAATAACCTGCTTCCTTAGAGTGTGGGCTTCTGACAAACAGAATGTAGAGGTGCTGTGACGTCACTTCCTTGAAAACGTGATGAGAAGATTCTTTCATCAAGAAAGCCTTCCTCTGCTATTTTTCTCTGTCTCTGTATCTCTGTCTCTGTCTCTTTCCCTCACCCTCTACCCCTTTCCCTCTCTTTCTCCTTCTCCCTCTTCCACTCTTTCTTTCATTTTTCCTGTCTTAGAAGAATCCCATCACTCTATTTTGAGTAGTTATATGAGTAAACATACACAATAAGCACTAATATCCATGAGGATCTGCGGCAGCCAGTGTCCTCAGGAGTGAGCTTGAAAGTAGATTGTCCTTCAGTTGAGAAGACCGTAGCCCAGTGGGCACACTGATTGAAGCTTTATGAGATATCCTGATCTAGAAACATCCAGTTAAGATGTATCTGGGCTTTGGATTCACAGAAGGTATGAGGTTATAACTCTCTGGTTTAAAGCTAGTGAGATTTGGAGCTAATTTGCTACATGTTGATAGGTAACAAACATATACTCAAATGTACCAAGTACATTATGCTTTTTAAAGTAATATTTTGTGTGTCAGGTAGGTGTGTGTGTGTGTGTGTGTGTGTGTGTGTGTGTGTGTGTATGTGTGCGCGCACTCATGACTAAATACTTGAGAAAATCAAATGAGGAAAGGTTTATTTTGGTTCGTGGTTTCCAAGGTGTCAGTGCATAGTTGACTGGTTTCACTGAGAATGAGCCAGAGATAAGGGAGGCAAAATGAAGTCTGTAGGGTTATATCCCCTGCTCCTAGGCTTACCTTCTAAATTTCCATTATCTCCAGACAATGCCAGCACATCCTGATCTTGTCAATGGATTAATCTACTTTATGAAGTTAAAGCCTCCTGATCCAAACACCTTCTAAAAGCCCCTACCTATGAATACTTGAGACTCTTGCAGGATGTTTTAGATCTATGCAGAACAGTTTACATGTAATTTCTGTCCATGTTTTAGGTAAAGTACACAGAAGAATTACTTTTGCTATAGTTTCTGTCATTATCCTTTATCCAAAATCTTGATCTTGGAATTCTTACCTCTAGAACTAGAAGAAATAAATTGATGTCCTTTATGGATTACTCAGTCTCAGATACTTTGTTGTACCAGTATCTGACACCAAGTTCCTTCAGTCAATGCACAACATAGAAGCCAAAATGATCCTGTTAAAACATAGGTCAGATTTTATCTTACGTTTGTTTAAAATTGCACTGGATGTTCAATGTACTCACAACGGGACATTAGAATTGCCCAAAGTATATCCTACCTGCAACTTAAAATTTTATAACCCCTGAACTCCTTCCCTACAAGGTAACACCCTGTCTTATCCCAGTTGCAAGCTTATAACCAAGTTTCCATTTTCCAGAAATACTTTTATTTTCAGACTTTAACTCCAGTTGTATACACTCTCTGATATGTTGTTCTTCACCCAAGTATGTTCTTGGCTAACTTATACATTTTATTTTAAGTCTGTGTTCACAATTTCATCTCCTCAGGACCCTTATGTTGACCTTAGTCAAGTATTTTAACTTTTTGTTCCCTGTCCTCACCTTCAGAATTCATCATTTACCATCCTCAAGTATAGAAATGAATGTATTACTTATTACACTACTAGTTTATTTTCTGCCTCTGTCCAATGAATAATGAGCTCCATGACAAGAGATATTTTTGTTACTTTTCCTATATCTATCATCTTGATGTTTGCTAGGTGCGTAATAGTTACTCAATAATACTAATTGAATGAACTTAAAGATGACTGTAATTGATCCCTTTTTAGCTCTCAATATGTGAAAAGTGGTTACAAAATATTGTTAATAATTAAATGAAAATATTGAAAAAGTTACAGCTACCAAATAAAGGAAAACATTTTGGCATCAGAGTCCTTGTTTTCCCTCAAAATAGTAACCTGACAGAGCATATTATCAAATAGGAACATGATTTATTCATTATCTTTTGCTACATCTGGACTGAGAAAATTAAACTGTTTTGTAAGATGCTTGATAACACTCTAAGACCTTTTCAGTTTTTTCTCTGTTCTTCCCCTGCTAATTTTTCTTGTTTCTTTTCAAGGTCTGTAGGCAAGTAAGCAATATTCTGCTTCTTTGGCAAATAATTGATCACTTGGCTTCTTGAACTTCTCCACAGATAATATGTCTCTACAGGTTCACTTAGCATCCTGAGCAGGGGATAGAATTGGAGAATGATTTCTTACTGGAAACTATACACAAAAGAGAGTAAATGCTTCTTATTTTTGCCATAGTACAAAATGAAACAGGCACCCAGGAAAAAAAAACACTTCCCAACATCACCTTTTAAAAAATGTATTTCACTGATCTTTGTCTCTTGGAAATGCTTTTCTAATCACTGGTCTTATTGCTTTTCATATCATTATGATTTGAAATAGAAAAAGGCAAATTAGGACCTAACTTTAGATGAAAAAATAGATGAAATTAAAATCAAATTCATTTGCACTTAATATTAGGTGAAACATTACTGACAAATTGAAATGTATTTTCTATAAGAACTTTATATTAAAATTTATATGCATATAAAATATTTTAGAATCTAGATATGGATTTAATACTTGCAAGGAACAATGTCTAATACAACTGAATTCTAGAGCAGGTTTTAGCAAACTCATTGCCTCTTTTTATAAGAGTTTTATTGAAACACAGATATGCCTATTGTATTTCATGTTGTCTAAGGCTACATTCATACCAAAACAGCAGAACTGAACACCTGTATCATAGACTGGGGTAGCCCGCAAACATATATAGTCCCTGACCCTTTATTCTTTATTTATTTTATATTTTATATTTTTATTTTTTTGAGACAGGGTTTCACTATGCAGTAAGGACTGACCTTGAACTTGTTTATGTAGTCCAGCTGGCCTCAAACGTACAGTGATCCTCCTGCCTCATTCTGGCAAGTGCTGAGATTACAGGCATGCACTACTGCACCCAGCCAAATTTGTCTCTGATCCTTTATAAAAAGAGTTTGTGAGTTCTTGTTCCAAAACATTGAAAAGTTCTTTATATTTAATTAAATATAATGCTGATGTTAATCTCCATTTTTATTTCCATAATGTAAGAGGAAAAGGAAAATTAAGAGGAGTTTCAGTTTCAGTGTCCAGGTAGTTGATAAGAATTATCTAAACAAAGACAGAACTACTCATGTTCCTCGACTTCCAATAAATCCATTGTAAATGGAAAATGTAGTTAGTTGGAAACACCTTGCTATTGAACATCCTAGCTGAGCAATACAGTACGCTAGAGTGTCAGTTCCACTGTCCACCATTACAGTTTAATATCATATATAATATTGTGTACTGCTGGCCCAGGAAAAATCAAAATAAAAAAATTCCAGGTACATTTTATATTGCATGCACATGCCTTTTATACTATTGCAAGGACAAAAAGTAGGTCAGGGAGCATTTATATTGGCTCACATTAGCCTTATGGGCTGGCTACTCTCCTATCCCTCTATGATCCTTTAATTCTTTTTTAAGTCTTTCAAATATCTAAAGCACAAGAGTCTTCTTGAGACACTTATATTTAACAGTTTTACTTTCCTACTTTGTTTCTATGCTTTTTTCTTTTCTTTTTTTGTATTGGAGATTGAACCCAAGGGTGCTTTACCACTGAGATATATCTTTTTTTATTCTTTTATTTTGAGACAAGTTCTCACTAAGATTTCCAGGCTGGCTTTGAATTTGAGATCAACCCTTCTGCCTCAGCTTGCCAAGTACTCAGGACTACAGGTGTGTCACACCATACCTGGTGTGTTCCCTTTTCTAATTGACCCAACTTTACCTTTCTTAATTGAGCTGCTCTCCAGTTTGTGGTTGGATGCACTGTACACTGATTTGGTCTCCCTGCATCTGAGAACTGTTAACAGCTTTGTTAGTGCCACCCAGATTCGGTTTCTTGGTCTTGATTTTTGAAATCTGAACAACAGCAATCGTTTCCAATTTCTGATTCTGTAATATTCAGGCTGCCTTTCTCGAAGAAGAAGAAGAAGAAGACGAAGAAGAAGACGAAGAGAAGAAGAAGAAGAAGAAGAAGAAGAAGAAGAAGAAGAAGAAGAAGAAGAAGAAGAAGAAGAAGAAAAGAAGAAGAAGAAAAAGAAAAAGAAGAAGAAGAAGAAGAAAAAGAAGAAGAAGAAGAGGGGAGGGGGAGGGGCAGCAGAGGGGGAGGGGGAGGAGGAGGAGGAGGAGAAGAAGAAGACCACGACGATGACGACGACTTGGGATGTAGCTCAGTGTGGTTCAGTTCCCAATACCATTACTACAAAGAAAAAAAAAGAAGGAAATAAAGAAAAGAAAAAAAGACATTTTTAAAAAAAATAAAATAGGCTCAAAAAATGTCTGTTGCTTTTTGCTCCACTAACAACCATCTGAAAAGAGATGGAAACAGGTGGCTGATGGAAAGTAAGGCTGAGTACCCATGTAATAATCTGCTTTAAAAATTTTAATTTTTACTGAATGTGTTTGCAATACATAATTGTATGTTTCTTGTGGAAATCTGATACACATACCTAAAACATCTAAATTTTCTTTTCTTTTTCTTTAATTCACTTCCCCTTCTCATCTGCCTCCATCTCTTAGTCCTCTTCTCTTTTACAACTAGCTCTTGATTCCTATTGTTGTGCTTTTTAATTTACTTATATTTTGGGTTCCTCATATAAGAGAAATTGTGCCTGTTTTAACTTATGTGTCAAATTTATTTTGCTTAACATTATGGTCACAAGGCACATCTATTTTCCTACAAATGCCTTGAGTTTGTGTTTCTCTGTGACAGAATAGTACTTCATGATATATATACATATACATCACATTTTCTTCATATAGACCACTTCCAAGACTTACCTATCGTAACTTATGCAATAATCTTGTCTGTGAACAAAAGCAATTGACTCAAAATTGGACTCTAGAAATAGACTGATTTTAGGTTCCAGCTAAAGGCAGCCATGAAAACCAGCAGCCTTCGTTCAAGAGGACATAAATGAGCTTTCATTTTTGGAGAGAATCAGATTTAAGATGTAATACAAATTGGGTTTAAGATGAATGCAGAGCTGTGTGAAGAATCTGAGTGAATAGGGAGGTTATTTATAGCGGAGTAATGGGATGAGGAAGAGGAAGACACTGCTCCTGCCGCAGAGGAGATCAGTGCAGATACTCATTTAGCTAAGAGTCCACTATGTGTCAGAAGAAAGCAACCCAAGTCCAGGTCCTCAGAGAAATGGCATTGCAGCGGGCAGATGTGCAAACAAGGAGATGACTTACCCATTTGAAGAACTGTGATAGGTCCCCCACCCATGAACTGATGATTTACACCACTTTTAATTCCTATAAAGCTACAAAGGAATAAAAGTGGGGAGACTGTCCATTCGGTGGTGTGGTAAGCAGGCCTGGGCAGAGGAGGGCAGTAGTTCTCCTGGTTTCCTCCGTGTGGGGCACGTGGTCAGGGACAGTCCAGGCAGGGCAGCCAGTGAGCAGCGTCTGGGAACTAGCAGGAAAACGTTGGGATGGGCTGGATGAGTCATGGGAGGGGAAAGGGCAGTGCCAGGGTGAGGACGTGTGGGCTGGGCGTAGGCGATGAGAGGCGTGCGCATTGTGGGTGGGAGCCAAGGATGTCAGGCATGAAAAGCCCTGTGGGATTAAGTGACCCCTAAATTCTGCAAACGGCTGGCCTGGAGTTTTGTGCATCCTGGCACGGGAGAGGCATTGGCGGTGCTTCAGCCTGCGACTGAGCCTCGTCAGCAGGCTTGGTCGGACTTCAGAGTGGATGCCTGGTGAGAGTGCGCTGCGCCTGTTGAACTCGGTCCAGCTTGGCTGGAAGGACCATGGTGAAGTGAGACTCAGCATGATGGAAGCACATGGGAAGCGAAAGACTCCTCTGGGTCTTCCGGGTGCACAGTTACGGGGAGCCTCTGGGCAGACACTGCTCAGGGCCTCAGGCCGGGCACCACCAGCAAGGCAGGGGGTCCTCACTCCTGTCCACAATGAAGAGGTCAAAATCAGTGATGCCTTAGGTCCTTTTTAAACTCCAAGAATTCTTGAGCTCAAGAAAAATACTTTTCATATAACTTTTTGAGTAATACTTGGAACAATTCCTTTCGTGCAACAAAACATTTAATGGGCTGCTCAGCACATAATAGACGTGTAATCTACATCTAATTAACTGATTTTCATCATGACAGGATTTTTAATTTTTCATATTAGAAAAGTACCTTGCTAGGTTCTATGTGCAGATAATACAGTGTTTGTATCATCATTTATTCCTTCTTTTGTTTTTCTTGGGTTTTCTGACTACAAATACTTCCAAGTCTTACTCTTTATGGTTTTCAGCTGGAAACCTACAACCGAATTAGCTCACATCAACAGCCTTAAAAGCAGCAAGGTTGAGAGTAAATAGCATTTTTATAATGCTTTTCAAATGTAAGAATTTTCCCTGAATTATGTCATTATTTTGTACAGATAAATATTAGCACACCAGCATAAAACTAAGAAGCTGATAAAATGTCGATTAAATCACATTTTATAATTATCTGCGTAGGTACTTTACACATCTGAGTTTGGGAAGATTGTCTCTTAATTTTCTCAGATCAGTAAATTTTAGTCGATTTCTTCCTTCTTTATAACACTCTCTCCTCACGTTTGGGAGTGTCCCAGTGGATACTTGAAATAAGGATAGAGCTAAACACACACACACACACACACACACACTCAAATACCTATGATAAAATTTAGTTTCTAAAATGGCTCTAACAAAAATTAGCAACAACTAAAAATATAATAATACAAATTTTAAAATATAGTATAAAAATTTGCCTGCATCTAATCTTGTACATTATCAAGTAAAAGAAGCATATCTGAATACAAGGGCTGTCAATCTGATAGCTGAATGGCTACTAAATAATGGGTGGGTAAAAAATGAATGAATACACTGGAGAAAGGAATAGTCCTCATCTGAAGCAGGCTGGAGGAGGACTGTGCAGGATTTAATCACACTAGTCAGAAAGACACACAATTTAATGCACGTGAGTTCTTTAAAATTTCCATGAATATATTTGGCTACAGTTAATCACAGTAACAAACTATATACAATTATGGGTAACTAAAGTTAGCAAATCTATAGGTAAAGAGGAACTCTACTTTCTCTAGCATCCTTTTAACCTGCTGTGATTTTGCCTTTATTACACTTTCATCTTTCATGTCAAGAGTGTGTTGTGATCTCTGTCGTATGCTCTTCATTCTTTTGTAGGTAATAAGTGAATTGACCAGAGATGAACCGAAAGCTTGATTCATGGAGGCCCTTTGGATACTGTTGTTACACAGAAAACTTGAGTACTAGTTTTTGATTGCATTGCTATTTGAGATTACCTTTTGTTTACAATCTTTGAGCCAGTTTTAAATCCATGCAATGGCTCTTCTGTCCAAATCAATTTATATTAATTTTTCAAGTGAGATTTGGCAAGGGCCAAATGTATTCAGAGCTCACCTTGTACTCTTCATCCAGTGATTTTTATAATTAGATTTTTTTAAAAAGTAGGGCTAAGATGGGTCAGCAGACATCAGATTTCACTAGTGTGGTGTGCCTGTGCCGTCTCACCATCTACTGAAATCCCATGTTTGGACGTGCTGATGCAGCCTCAAGTTTAACCCTGGAAACTGAAGATTTTTTCATGGCACTCAAATGCCAGCTGTTCCTCACATCCCTCACATCGTATTGCCTAATGAAGTGAACCTGTTTTTAGCGGCTCTAGCCAGGAATCTGAGTCATTTTGATTCTCCTTTATCCTTTTATCAACATACAATCAATGAGATGAAGTCAAATCCCGAGAGTCTCTCAGATTCTCTCTCTTGCACCATGCTTGCCTCTCTCTCTCTCCCACACGTTGCGCAGTTGTTAACACTCTCTCAGTCCTGAACTCATTTCAAGCCAGCTGGACCTCAGCGACTGTGCATTCTTTGGTACAGAGGTGGTCACTTGGCTGCTTTGGATTTTGAAAGTCAGCTGGTCAAGCTGACCCTGGTCGCAGAGCATAGGCCTCATCACTCAGGGACTTTGTGTTCTTAAATGAAGTTGCTCTGGAATGTTGGCTCACGTTGTCTCTCATCTTCCGTGGGCTGAGAGTGAACAGCTATCTGGAATTCATGGCCTTTTTTTCATTTTTTAAGTCTGAAGTAATTTCATTATAATAAAAACCGAGCAGATTTTGTAGTGGTGGAAAGCGGAACTAGTAAACAGGGGGAGAACCTATGAAGCTCTTGCCTGTGTGATCTGGGAGTCCTTTTAATACTTCTACACAATCTGTGGCATTTTTAAAAGACAGTCTTGTTCCATATATTTTGTCTTTTTTGTTGCTGTTTTACAAATCACACCATGCAAAACTCTCAAAAATCAGTGTTGATATTGATTATAAGTTATATGTTCAATTCCTTATATATATTTGGATGTGTCTCTTCTTCAATGGGACTAGTCCCTGGTGTTTCATTTTGCCTTGTTTCTGAAGTAGCCTAGTCTCTCTTGACTGTATGAACTTTGCACTGTATAACCTTCTCAAATCTCTGCACCAAAATGAATTTTATAATTCTTGACCTTTTAATCTAGCAAATCAGACCATCTGTAATTAAATTAAACATTTCATGGGATGAACCCAACTATCAAATGTCATCTTTTCTTTAGCAGCAGAAGCTAAAGCAGAAACATCAGAAACTGTAGACAAGAAAAAGTCAAAACAGATCATTAACACCAGACTAAATGCCTTCAGACAGTTTTACAATATCTTCATGTTTAGCTGTTGAAAATAAGCTGTCAAAACTATGCTGCTGTCTGTTCAAAGAATGCAAAGTAATACACTAAACACTTTTGCTTTGGAGAATGTCTTGAGCAGCTTTAATAAAGATGAACAATTTTAACATGGGTATATGAATGCTGCAGTGAGTGGAATTGCTATTTCTGAGAAGGGAACTGCGGGTAGACATGCTGTATTACACGTACAAGGCTGTCCTTTGCTAATAAAAGCTAATGGAGAACTAGGAAGAGCCAATTAGAATACAGAAATGAAAATGAGCATTAGAAGATATTATTAAAAGTACAGTAAAATATATCTTAAGTCCTTTTTAACTTTTTAAAAATTTTTGTACCAGGAATCAAACTTATGGCCTCACATTTGCCAGGCACTTTTTTGACATTTGTAAATGCACGTAAACTTGTAATGAAAATTCTTTCAAAACTTGTTAATGAGTCAGTGACTCATAGTCCAATTTTCAAACTCCGAAAGTAACTGCTGCTGTCCTGTTATGGACATCAAAAGTAATTTAAATTGATCCAGTAAAGCCAGCAAGAAAACAGAAAGAAAGTTGCTACAGTTTTATCACCTGTTTGTTCTGTTTTCTGCATAATTAATTTGCAGAAGCTCTTATAGGAAGTAACAAATGTTCTGTGAGATCAGGCAGGAGCTGTTGGTGCCCTGTTCCAGTGAGCTGTAGAAGAAAGAGCATATATAAAGCATGTAATACTGTGACTGCTTCACCCTGGATGCTTAATAAATTTTCTTTCCTATTCATAAAGTGATCAGGTGCTGATTTTCACATATAGTGATTTAATGCTTGTCCGGCTGGATGAATATGTTCCTTGACAAAGGTTAAGAGACCACAAACATATTCAGATAGAGCAGGCAAGGTGGTTCTCACTATTTCTCTTCAAATGCAAGCAAGGAATACATTACAGAGGACTTTGAAGTTAAGTAAACTTGTTTAATAATCCAAGCCATAGTAGATACGGACTTTCTGAGCTCTAACTCTGAGCTTCCATTTCATCACTGTAGCAGTGGTAGAAGCTAAAGAATGATCACACATGTGGCTAAAGCAAGGCCAGCTCTGAGAACATGGAAAGCCCAAAAGAAGCCACATAAACAAGCTGTTCCAGCTCCCAAAGGCATGATGCCCCTACCTTCCAGGAAAATGTTGCTGTGCAGAGGGAATGAAATTGACATGATTCTCCTGAATGTGTAAATAGACATGCTGTGGTGGCTGAGCAGCTCCTTTTCTCCCATCAGGAGAGAGGGCTCTACCTGACCTCAGCTTTTGTCTCTTTTCTTTATTTTTCCCTCCTCTTGCTGTGCCCAAGAACTTTGAGAGGTGTGCTGGTATGTGGCATATGGTACCTGAAACCAGACTAGGGTAAGAAGAAACAGTGAGGGTACATTTCTCATTGTGTGTACGTAAGGGGTAAAGTGTACTGATTATGGTCAATACTCAGCACTGGAGTGAATTCATATTAACATCATCAAGTGTTAAACTTGGGTCAAAAGATGGGTTTACTAGGGACAAAGAAATACACTTAGGAAAATTCAAAGAGGCAAGAAACAAAAGGGGAAAAATATTGATTTTATCAGTTGCTAAACATGAGGCAAACAAATTCTCAAGACCCACACATGTATATGGAACTGTTTGTTATATTCTTGATTTCTGCATTTATTTTATTTTTGAGGACTTGTATTAGGGAGCACTTCAATGGGCATGAATTTGTTGGGACAATCACAAAGGATTTCTCTTGAAGCATTATTTTGAAATCAATTCCCAAGTAAGAAAAAAGATGCCACAAACCACCCTGATAACCTTAACTGAGCCACAAGCTGCAATTCCCACCTTCTCAGTTCAGGGAACTTTTGCTTCATCACAGGCTGTGATGTCCACCCTTTGTAAAAGAAAGTCATACTTTAAATGAATTGTTCAATAATTAGCTTTTGTAAATATAAATAAATGGTACGAAAAGCTTTGAGAGCTCACAGAAAACAGGCTACACTGCTGAGATGATT